AACTATTAGTACAACTGAGAGAAAATATAATGCTGACAGTAGCACACCATAGAGCACATAATATTGCAAATATTCATGAATATTATGTATGTGCTCTATGTAGCACATTTATTGCGAGATTTAAATCATTTATATTTCGATACAAAATTGTTGATAAATGGGATGTGGATGTCTTCTGAAATGTCCAAAATTCAATGAATAATTTGAATACTTTATTTGTACTCGGTATAGAGTAACTTAAACTAATTAAATTTGCGTTCAAAGCTGCTTACTAATATTTCTAAAACTGTATGGCGTGACTAAGATAGCTCTATAACAATCAGCATAGAAACATTGTTTTGTAGTTGTTTACAATATTTACACAACCGTACTTTTTGACTGGGATACGTTAATAATAGAAGATAAAATTAAAACTTCACCTTCTAACCTAGAGTGCAATACATTACAGTTGCCCCATTTCTTGTTCTCTGTTTAAAAATAAAATACCGGGAGCTCATCACAAGTTGCAGAATTGCCCGTGACATTCGTAGTGAAAAGAGGAATTAGAAAGCGCAAGGGTGAGCTGGGTTAAAACACAAAAGGGATGAGAAATCTGCAGAAATTGAACAAAAAGAAGCGTCGAAACAAAAAATCTGCAAAAGCTGTGACTTTCTCAAAGAGAAAGGCTTTAATTTAGTAGCATTCTTTTCTTTAAGAATAAATACAGTAATTACAGTATCACCACAGATTAAAAACCTACTGCCTGATAGATTTGACATCCTTAAATCGATCAACAGCAAACGATTCTTAGTTTTTCTTCTGTTTGGTATGTTGATTCAAAACTGCAAAAATATTTCAACTAATGCAATGTTTGTAAATCTTTATTCATTTTATGGTAGTTTAACCAAAGAACCAAAGCACAAGTTGTAAAATGTATTCCAAGGGATAAATATTTATTAGAAATACGCGCACTCTAGGTTTACCAGTTGTGAAATGCAAACCAAAATGCTTTAGATTTACAGTAGAATGACACGTCCGTTTTGCGATAATCAAAGTCAATGCTTTTACATGCATTACTCTTTTGTTTATTGTTAGTAATTTTAACCATCAGTAAAAAACCAATAAAGCTTAATATAACCCTCTAAACGTAAACAATTGCTTGCCCTCTGGTAACTTAAGATCAAAGTTCAAATTTCAAAATGAAGATAAGGCTTTGTAATGCAATAAAAATCTATGAATGGATGTACATACACAAAAACAATGTATGAATGGATGTACATACAACCTATTACGTAGAACATGTATATGAAATAAAATATCGTAAAACATTAAGAAGACGTTAGCGCACTCAAAGCTATACCAACATTAAACTTAAACATATCGAAACAGGCTACATATATTAAAAAATAAGATGAGAAGTCTACGTTAACTACACAAAGGCAATGTTTTTATCCTTTCCATGCTCTTTGGCGACGAATAATCTACGCGACAATGGTTAATTTGCAGCTGATTTTACCCGCACCCTTTATTAAATCAGCTGATTCGTTTTATTCTGATTACAGTAAACGACAGCCATACTGGTTTCCGCCATGTTTTTCTCAACTTCGTAATGAAGGGTTAGGGATGATTGGATTGGTCCATGGGGTGAAGATGACGTCATAATTGAAGGGTGTTTCACCCTAAATTAGGGGAGTTGGAGGTCCCCAACTATATGGATGCACCCTGCACAATCCGTTTTCCTGTATTTCTCCGGGTTATAACACTTTGAAGCAAATTAAAATTGTACTTATCGTTGGAAGATCCGAAAGGTGTTATTTTTCAGGATCATAAGATGAATAAAATAATATATTTAGTCTCAAAAAATGTAACTGTTTAAAAAAACAGTTTTCGACCTTTTGACAACTATATTATTAACATCGCCGATGAATAGTTACTTTGTTCTTATTTTATAAGTTAGAATGAAATATAATATCGTTATTGTTATTCAATCAGATTTTTTAGATACATTGTTCAAGAGCACTTAAACATTTTGTATCACATGTATCAACACATGTATAAAAAATTGTTTGACGAAATTCTTAAGCACTCAATACTCTAGCTTGCAAATTACCCGTTTGAAGATTTCCCATTCATTGTTTTTACTTAAATGTAACGGAATAACCAGTCCTAAGTAGGAAACAAACATTAGGCTATAACAATCTTTTGCAATAATAACATAGGAATTAAAAAAAATATAGTAATTTCATATCAATTTTTTTGCCATAAGAAGGGATAAAAACTCCCCTTAAATTCACATAGAAGTACTGACGTCCGCTTTTTCTAAATTCAGGTACAGGTTTTTTTGTAATTTGACTGAATAAACGTGAACCTTTATTCAAATTCAAAGACAGTATGAGATAACTCCAGTTAAAAAAAAAAAACTTAGGTCCCGGCACTGTTATAATTTATGTTGTAATGGAAGTTTACATTTCTTTGAAACTCCTTATTGCGTACTTTATCTATAACACAAAGAGGCCATTTTAGCGTCACAAACTGGCCTTGCCATGGCTGAATTTCTTTCAAGATCTTCCCATTGCAGACCAATAAGACGTCAACGTCGTGAACTCAAAAGCTTTTCACGTCTGCAAACAAATCCATCAGTTTTAACCGGAAACGCCAGCTAGAAGATGACCCGTTCTGGGCTCAAGGGGAGCTACGGACAAAGGCTGCACAAACAAGACGGAAGCGAAGTTCTAGGAAGTGCAAAACACAAAGGGACCGTTAGAGGAACAAGTGGCGAAAGGGACAGATTTGTGAAATCAATCGATGATCTATAAAGAAGTATTGATGAACCATCTGTTGTAGGATCCCGTACCTGCCTAAGATGAATGGAATCGCACATTCGCACGTGTTCTTTTGACGCTTGGGTAGGTAAAAACTACCATACTGAGTGTGAAATAAACGATCCACGAATCTTCTTCTTTTATAGATGAAGATCGAGTACAGAATTGGACTTTTGAATACCTTATGCGTTATATTTGTCTATAAAAAAACTCTCATATATTTGTCATCCTCATGGATGAGTCAAACGTATTAAGGTTTGTTTCTGCATTCTTTGATTCTGTTCAGTGTTCACCATTGAGAGTCTTTAATTGTTTACTATTTTGTTACTGTATTTCGCCAGCTTTAAGACTTGTTTGTAAATCATTTGTCATCAAGTATTAGAAGAGCAAAACGCAAACTATGAAGTATGATTTGCTTCTAAAATGTTCACATCATTGCACTTAAACATTTGTAATTCTTACGTTATATATTTGAGACTAAAGTTTTCAGCTACGAGTTTTAAAACAATAATTATTAATGTTAAATGTTATTTTGTTATGTATTATCATGGACATTAATAAAATACTCGTCTTTGGTTTCATTTTACCAGGCTCCAAATTCAAAGAAAAGTTAAATTTTTCAGCCCCCGAATTTTAGGATACGTTTAATATATTTAGTTTCCAATGTTATTATACAATTAATTTCTAGGTAATATTTATCAGATTATTTTAGACTAAGCCAAATTTAGATGTTTTTCGGGTAAAATTTAATAGCTTAGTTGTTATAGTGCTCGCCTAATAATCAAAAGGTTGCAGGTTATATCATGAGAAAAGTTTGTACCTTTTATAATAGTTCGAAACTGGACCCAGCTGTCCTTGATCATTGGTATTTCTAATGGTACTGAACAATGAAACAGCTGGTCATAGGCTATACAAGGCAACAATTCATTCTAATACCTAAGGGAGTATCATCACCCATACTGTATTTGGGTTAAAATACGCACAGGTGGCGTCCCCATCTCAAATGGTAATACTAAATGATGATAAATCCCATTAATTAATTAATTATAATCATCTCCAGTTTTATGTCAGTGACATTAATTAATTTATAGTTTTAGTTCCAACCAAAATGAAAATATTTACATATTCTGTCACAAGTTACTTTAGCTAATTACGCTGTGATTTATCACAATCTATATCTTTTGGGTATTAAATATCGTTTTAAAAAAAGTCATGCGAGTTCAGTATTTAATAGTAGACAAAGCTGTACATTACATTACAAAAATAAATATTTAAATACATCTGCAAGAAAATGATACCCCTCCGCAGCCTAATGCGATAATATCCAGCAGATGACTGAGCGAATTTCCATTTATCTGGCTAGATTTCCACTAAAACATTCCCTAAAAATTGGATTCATCCCATATTTAAATAAAATTAATTTTAATGAGACGGTACTTAGGATTGCTGCTAATGAAATGTAATGAGGTGTTTTTAGTGAAATGTTGATAGCTTAGTATGAAATAAAATAAATTGCAAAATGTCATAAAAATGTAATAAATAAGCAAACTACAACAGTTTATTTATCATCCCTAAGAATAACATGGGAATTTTTCATTTATCTTCTTAATCTACGGGTACCTTTATTTAATTTTATCCGTAAACGTTAGGCTAACAACAACGCTTCAAGTTATTAAATATTATTTCTTTTTTAAGCCCTACAAAATGGTTTAGAAAGATATAATTGCCCGAACGGTAACCCCACGAAAACCCCGTTCCCGTGGTCCGATCATACTGGTTCGCGAACTCTTTCAAATCAATGTAGGTTTACAAGTGTGTACCAAATTTCATTAAAATTGGGTCATTTTTCTTGAGTTATCGTGCGAACGGATAACTATTACGCGTACAAATTTGATCGGACAATGTTTTTGGCTTCTGGCAGCTATTCAATTCACACCATCTCACTCCATTTTACACTCACCCTCACCTTTATATTAAGTTTTGTGCGTAGCGTTCTCAAATTGACGATAATGTACTTAATATAGTTATAATCCATGTGATGAGTATGTTTTATCTATGGTGATACTCTATATTTATTTATAAACAGAGTTCAGTTAAAGTTCAGTTAGTAGTTTACATTTACTTTACATAGTGCGGATATCATCGAAAGCTACATAGCATCGGTAACAGATTACCGTTGTGTTTGCTCCTTCGCCTTGTGGCGATATGGCCTTTTTTCCAGCGGAAGCCGGAGCTTTTTGTTCTTCTTCCATCTCGAGGCTGTCGTTGAGGTAAGGTGCAATTCTAGATTTCTCTCTGAAATTAATTTATTAATGTGGTAATTAAGTTTTTATTATTCTAATAATGATACCTGTACAATTCTTGCAATATCTATTACATACATTAACTTGACCTCGCATCTTTTTTTCAAACAATGTAGGCCTATTCTTTTCCTAAAGAACTAACCCTAACCTTCCACGTGTGCCGTGTCACTTAACTACCACTTTGTCTTTATTTTATAATGTTTTAATCGTTGAATGTGCTACGGGTCGAGTTAAAGTCTTCAAAATTTGGTCCTGAGGTTTTGATGAAGTGTGATTATGGCTTTCAGAGATCCTAGCCTAGTGCCTGTTTGTTCTAGAATGAATAGTAGGCCTAGGCCTGATTTAGGGATGAGCTCTGAAAGCTTAGCCTAGGCTTAAGTTAGGCCTATGTTTTCAAAACATCAAGGATACCAATGTTTTTCTATCGATGATGAATACTTAGCCAAAAACAACATTGGTAGGACTACCGTAACCTACCATTGATGTTTTGAAACATTATTGGCGTGAAACTGGCAATAACTCCAGCCTTAAGTAGTGCGCGCGCCCGAAAAATCTATTGCTGACCGTTTTGAGGCAAAATACGTCTGCGATCCATATTACTGATGATGCCAACAAGTAGAGGACACTTTAACGGACAACATTATGTACCTGGGGAGTAGGTTTAGGGGGGTCAAATCAGCTATAAGTTGTGCAATAGATTTTAGTGGGCGGGCGCCCTACTTATTGCTGATTTTACCCCCCTAAACCTACTCCCCCAGGTACATAACCCTCCGAGTGTCCATAGTTTAGGCCTTAATGTCCGCCTATTTTTGGCGCATTTGCAAGGTTTTATTAAAACGGATCTGAAAAGCTTAAAACAATGTTAATTCTACTGTTCTATATACCATTTTGTTTGGAAAATCATGGGCTTCAATATCATATATAAAACCTAAGGAATAATTGTTTCAAAAAAAAATTTTTAGGTAAAAATAAAAATTAGGGGAGTTCGGGGTAATAAGAGAAAAAAGGGGTAATAAGAGAATCACTAATTTGTTTCTCTAAATCTAATAGGAATAAAAGAATGAAAAAAATCATGCAATAATGGGGCCAAATGGTGAATCTGAACAATTAATTTGGAAACACTACAATTTTTTAAATCTGTAAAAAAAAAATTCTCTTATTACCCCACTGACTTCTCTTATTACCCCAGGTGGGGTAATAAGAGATGAGGCTATAATATTCTTATTTGAAAGTATTCAGAAGTGTGTGGGGTATCAAGAGAAACCTTATAATAGGACAAGCTTTGGGAGAAAAAGTTTTAGAAAAATACATATTTGTTAAAAAGTTATTAAAAATCAAATATTAATCGGCGGAAATTTGTGCGGAAAATTACACAAATAAGTGGGTTTTTAATTGTAAATAAGCTAAAACACCCCAATTTCAGTTTTTGTTATCTGTACTTTTATAACTTTTAAACATTTTTAATGAACTGAGCAAAACAAATACCTGTAAAATAAATATAAAAAATATGAAATGAGTTCATCAGCTTATTCTCTTATTACCCCGCCGTAACAAATACTGTGCGGTAATAAGAGAATTGGTAATATTTATTTTTTAAATAAATTAACCTAGCTGCTGACTCCTTTCATATCTTCTTTATAATCCCTGAAACAAAAAAGAACATGAGTATTAATTTTTTTAACAATCTTTACTGATGAAATGTATATATATATGAGAGGCTTACCGAACTCAAACTAATAAATCAGACGTAAGCGTTTTTTTAACCTAATATGGTGATGACTTAACATGAAGATTGGAGTACAATTACAACTTTATTTTATAATCCAATGTTCAAACTAAAAACTATTTTTTTAATATCTCTATGACCTTAATTTTTTTTATATGATTTTTTTCTCTTATTACCCCGTTCTCTTACTACCCCGGCTTCCCCTATTTTGAAAAAATTGAAAAAAAAAATAAGTTCGCGCTCAATGAAATTGTATAAATTATAGGCCTATAAATATTTGAAAATAGCCACTTTGTTCTAAATTTTATGAGGATTACAAATATATAATAATATACGGAAGTAGATTTGCAAATAAATAAGTTATGGGCAAAAAACAGATTTCAGTACATAGCGTTTAGCTAAGAATGCATAGCTAACCATATCAAGAATCAAGAATAGCTAGCTATAGCTAGGAATCTGGCTGATAATTTACATCAATATCACTACCTACTTCTTCAGGATCATCAACCAGCTCTTCAAAATCACTTAAATCTTCTTATAATGCACCACGTATATCACTACTTTTGGTTTTTAACACTAAAACAATTTAAATCCATGTGTGTAGCCCCTGAGCTGTTGGACATTGGACTCACTGTCCCACTGAACAATGAACATTACCAACGTGAAGTAGCTATTATCAAACATATAGCCTTAGCAAATGGTTTTAAAAGTAATATTGTGGACAGACAGAATCCAAAAACATAAAAATAAAAACAATATTACTAGGGACAACATTGCCGAAAAACCAAAATACATATGTGTTGATTATTCTCAGACCATACATGATTGCTTAGGAAAAGAATTCAAGAAAAATAACATAAATTTGACCTTCAACACTAGCAACAGATTAAAAAATATATTAGCCTCAAAAACGACCGCAAAGGACATACATTGTAAAACTGGCATTTATAAATTGAAATGCGCTGAATGTCCTAGTATGTATGTTGGCCAAACAGGACGAAGTTTCAAAACAAGGTTTAAAGAGCACAGACCAGTTGTCAGCGTAACCAAACAAAAATCCTCCTTCACACAACATTTAATTGACTTTAATCATACAATGGGAAATATTGATGACAGCTTGGAAATTCTACACACTTGCAGAAAAGGGAAAAAGATGGACACTCTAGAGGAGTATGAAATATACAAAAGTTTTGACAACGTTAACACCCGTGAGACTATATTAAACGAAAAACTACAATTCAGTTCCCACACCATTTTTAATTCACTCATCAACAACTCCGTCCATCCTACAACAGCTGATCCTTGCCCAATATCTCTTTCTCTCTCACACAACTGATAAGCATAAGCTGGTCTAGTCTGTCCCTTGCTACCTGTGCGGTCGGTCATCTTTGTTAGAACAGGCCTGTTTTTTAAATGTTTAACTGTTTTATGTATTTATTCGTGTCCGTACTGTGTTTATTTATTCTTCTGACGATGGTGTTTTAACACCGAAACATGTCCTGAATAGACATATTTTATTGAGCTGTGACGGGAATTACGTAAGTACTAAAACAATGATAAGCATAATAAAATACATCAGTCATCGGTCCGAGGTTAATTAACCTGTTTACAAATACGCACGTCAGCTGTCTGCTACAATTACGATCGGCTCGGAGAACATAAAGCGCTTAGAGACAGACCTCTGGAGAAAGCTTAGAGAATATAACGAAAAGAACGATACCTAACTCGATCCAGTTCAATCCGATTTGTCAGTCATAGAGCCTTTGCCGTAAACAGTGTTCGTGAGTCGCTGCAGCGACGCATGACACTACACAAAGTGTGTTACGCGTCGCTGCAGCGACGCATGACACTCGGAGGGTTAATGTTGATACTACGATTACTATAAAAATACCGGTATGGATCATAAACATCAACAAATGACGTTTTTGGCCCGAAAATAAACATGATTTAACATTGGTTAAATGGAACTGCTAAAACATATGTTCAATGCTATTAGTATAGGATTTGAGCCAACAACGTCATTTTGTTTATTGTTTATGATCGGGTTTTTTCTAGTATTCGTGGTTGATACTGTCGTGTCCGTTAAAGTGTCCTCTATCTGTTGGCATCATCGGTAATATGGATCACGGATGTATTTTACCGCAAAACGGCCGGCAATAGATTTTTTCGGGCGCACGCACTACTTATTGCTGATTTTACCCCCCTTATTCTACTCCCCAGGTACATAATGTTGATACTGTCGTGTCCGTTAAAGTGTCCTCTATTAGTTGGCATCATCGGTAATATGGATCCCGTACGTATTTTGCCGCAAAACGGCCAGCAATAGATTTTTATGGCGCGTGCTCTACTTTTTTCCAAGTGACTATCGATGCTCATCCTAAGGATACCAATGTTTTTCTATCGATGAAGAATATTTGGCCAAAAACAACATTGGTAGGACTACCGTAACCTACCATTGATGTTTCGAAACATTGAACATCGATGTTTTGAAAACATCGACTAAGTTATCGATGCTCATCCTTACTTCTTCTTACTCAGCCGAAACAATGGCACATTGAGTAGGCACATACAGTTTGATGCCGTGGTAAAAAAGAATGTTTTTTGAAGAAAGGCGTAGGCTAACATGTTTAGGGATTGCCAAATTAGGCCCCTATGAGAATTTCAAAGTGACTAGGCCTATATAGGCAAATTTTCTGGATCAGTGAATAGAGGAAGGTTTTTTTTTACTAAGGTAAGGTTTTAAGGACACTTAGATGGAAGGGTTACAATTTTGGATTCTGAGAAGGATTTTCTTCGTGAATCGGCGTTTTGGCAAAGAAACAATGGCTGCACTTTAGTTTACACCCCACATTCATTCAATTGACATTTTTGATATATCGATTACAGTAGACTCCCTCTTATCCGGACATCGGTTTAACCAAACTACACTCGGCGGAAATGACATCTCATTAACCGGACAATTTTTATCAGCACATTGTTTTAACCGGACTAGATCGGCAGGAAGTGGGCGGTACTGAAACGACTGTTCCCGTGGGAAAGATTTCAGACCAGTGATCACGTGTCTGAATACAATGCTCTCCTAAATTTAAGTCAAATACGCATTTAAACAGTCCGTTTTTACAAGTTTTTGGGGATGTCGGTTTAACCGCAAAACTGTTATCCGGACTGGCCTCGGTCCGTATAAGAGGGAGTCTACTGTAATTGATATACCTATCAAATATTTCAATTGAATGAATGTGGGGCGTAAACTAAAGTGGAGCCGAAACAATTCTTCTTACTGCCCATTTTTGGAATTGAACCAGAAATTTTAGTTTCTGCACTTTCACACTTAGCCCCATTTAAGATAGGTTTAATTTATAATAATAAACATATGTTGAAGTATTTTTTATTTGTAAGTTTTATGGTATTTGTATCATTACTGACGCGACCTATCCAGAAATGGTCAACGGTCGAGAGGATGGTAATTATGGTAATTATAGGTCTAGCATAGGCCTACGCTAAATGGTGATGGGTTAGTCTGTTATACGTATTAGAACTGCATAGGTAACTTCTAAGTCTAGTGGTAACTTAAATGTGTTTTTATTAAACTACAATGAAAGAGACATTTTTTAATGATGATTATTATGATTTCAGTTTCTTTTCCACCGACTGAATCAAACATGTTGATCAATCTAATCTGATAAACTTGTCAATCTAGGTATTCCTAACTGCTGTTGCACATTATCTTTAGACACTGATTATCCCAATATCTTGTTGAAGGTAATCCACAATGACCAACTCCAAGGGTTATCGTCGAGGAACGAGGGACTTGTTCTCCCGCAAGTTCCGCAGGCATGGAGTCATTCCTCTCTCCACGTACATGAAAGTGTACAAAGTTGGCGACATCGTTGATATTAAGGTAGGTCTTTGGTCATTCTACTCTGATTATTCAACTGAAAAGTTAATCAGTAGCCTACGGTAGGCTTATGAGGCCTAGTAGCATATCTAACTAGGCCTACTATAGTCTTTAGAACCTTCATATAACAAATTCCTTATAGGCTATTTTTTTTATCCCCTGGAACTCTCCATAAGGCACAATGTAACTTATATATTTTATCTCTACATAACGAATAAACCATATAGCCTAAACAACCTTGATTTAAAGAATTTTTTATTCAGTTTTAAAACATAAATTAACAAATTTATCAATCTCTGAACCTCTACAGTGAATTTGAACCTCTTCTTAACAAATTGGGTGTGTCTTTCCCTCAATATAACGAACCCGCCACATTATTGTTTTTGAAAAATCACAATTTCTTGATGAAAATGAAATGGATTTTTTAGCATTTTATATTCACGTCAACGCTTCCGCTAACATTTGTCTGCTCCGTTTTACACATCTGTCAGTGTGCGCTATTACGTGATTTATTGCTATAGGGTGGGTTAAAGAAAGTTGTTATTTTAAATGTTAGCCTACACTTTGTAAGTTGAAACAAGGTCAATGACTTGAAATATCATAATTGTGTAATATTGTATTTTGTTGATGATGTATTATTTTAACGGACATTTTTATTTACCCCCCAGTATTGCAGTGTTTTTGTGTGTTTGTCCTCTTTTATATACCATGTTAGATTAACCGTGGTTTTGCCTATCAGTAGTCTCCCTCCACCTTAATATCCCGGATAATCAAGGTTCTAATTTACATTGCCAATACTGTACTGTAAAGTATTGTAGCCTATGCTACTTAATTGTGTTTTAATGAGGTAAAATCTCCACTTGTATTGACCGATGCTGTTTCTAAACCTCGACTTAAAATCAAAATTCCTGCAAACCTAACCTCAAAATAAAGAACCTCTTTTTAACAAAATCTGTGATACAACAAATATTCAACTCGGTTTCTTCAGATTCGTTATACCGTGGTTGGACTGTATTGCCATTGGATCCTATAATTATTAAGTTTCATCGTACTTCCTTAAAATTAAGTTTATAGCCTAACTTAGGCCTAGGTTTTAATTTTGGGCATTTCATATCTTAAATATTTTTAAGGTTAAATTTGGTCTTGAAATTAAGTAAATTTTTTCTATCAATACGCTAATTTTAGGCCTTGGAGCAATTACAGTCTATATTTGCACTTCTCTTGATCAGCTGACAATATTGACGATAACCTAACCAACACTGAAATAATCATTCTATAGCCTAAAACTTACTATTGATAATATTTCATGATATATTTCATACACTTTCAAAAAGCCTTAAGTGAAAAATAATCATGGTTGACAATTTTAATTTTGTAAATGAGTAAATAAAAATATAACCAATTAACATGGTATCGGTAGGCCTACTGACATTTCACCATCGATTCTCGGTCCCTGTGCTTTTCCCAAGAACCGGTGGAACCGACATTTAAAGTTAAGTACCGAACCGACCCATCACTAATATTGACAGTATTTATTGAAAACTGAGTTGATAGCCAAGCTAAAAGCACAATGTTTGATCCAGTAAAAAGCAAAATCATAGGCTTTAATTTGTTTGTTCGTAGGTTATTCGTTTGTGGTTTTAGTTGATCTTTTTATATTAGCTACCTATTTTTTATTGGTTAATAGGATCTATTATTGTTTTTTTTTTAATATCAGTAAAATCGTAAACAAATCATAACTCAATTCGATGTTTGGAAAAAACACTATACGATATATTGAGTCAGTCAATTATCAATTTATAACGTTATTCATCCAATAATATATCCCAAGTTCTCTACGGAACTGTACCCATGATTCATTTAACTTTTTAGCCATAATTTGATAATTATTCAGAACTCAGGAACTGTTAACATAAACGACTGATGTGTTACAGGGTAACGGAGCTGTGCAAAAGGGTATGCCTTACAAGGTGTATCATGGAAAGACAGGCAGAGTGTTCAACGTCACCCCCCATGCTCTCGGAGTTATTGTTAACAAGAGGGTGCGTGGAAAGATCATCCCCAAGAGGTACGACATAATTAGCCTGCAATTAATGCTGCAGTTTTAGCAGGTTGAATTGGGCCTACCGTGTGAATCGTGAAGAACTACTTACGTTACTGTGTTAAGTGCTTATCATGATGATTCATTTAATAATTTGTCTTCTTTTCCCGTCTGACAAAATGTGATGTTAATGCCAAACTGAATGAGCACTTACATTTGACTAAGTAACAGTTGTATCCTGTACCTATCCGACAGTTTTATAGTGTCATTCTGGAATGTAATTGTAGGTTAAGAACAGTTGATAATCTACAGCGGAGACTGTTGCGTAAAATTTTGCAGATTATCCACAAAATTAACGATAATGGTCGAATAAAGAAATTTACAGACATTACTATAGGCCTACTTTGCGTCTTGGCAAAATTTTCTTACTGTGTAGTTTTGAAGTGTTGTACAAACATTATTTTTGTTGCTGTTTTTATAAGTATCCAGTAAGCAGTGTATTCACAAGGTTTGATCCCCATCATGGTTATGTCGTAGTTTCTGTTATTTGATTATGTTAAAATATAAGTTGTAGCCTTTAGAAATTATGTGCTAATAAAGAGCATTGCAAAACATTAATATTCAAAATAAGTATAGGCTAATTTAGAGATTGATGTATATTCTAATCTGAAATTAAATTCATCCTCCACATGGTTTCAAACTTCTGTTTTGAGAATTACAAAATCTTGAATTTTAAGAGTGTAATAAGGTTTTATCAGTTGAATCAATTGATTCAATTCTTTGTTTTTTCACTCAACATTATTGTATAACTAGCTTTAAGAAAGTCTTGTTTGTATTGCACTACTGTAATTTGTAAGAAATATCAAAATGGAGCTGTCCGTTGGAATGTAAAATAAAAAATAAATGAACTAGCTCACAGATTTGAGGTTAGGATTTAAGACAGTCTATATTTTGATTAACCTATATTAAAATCAACAAGCTTTGGAAGTACTCTCTTGATCGGTCTATAGTGTTGGATTTTTTATAGAATCATTTGTAATTTTTTGTAATTTAAAATTGGTTTTCAGGATTAACATCCGTATTGAGCATGTGAACCACTCCAAGTGCCGTGAGGACTTCTTGAACCGAGTGAAGGAGAACGAGCGCAAGAGGAAAGAGGCCAAGGCGAAGGGAGTGACTGCTCTGCTCAGGAGACAGGTTAGCGGTTAAACTGTCAAAAACATATTAGTTTGACATAAATTGGTTCAAATATTTTCAAACTTATTTTTCCTAGTGCTATTATGATGATCTTTGTTACTATGGTCTTCTTTTCCCAACTGAAAGTTTTGATGAGAAAAACAATCTGAATGTGCACTTGTTTACCGTACCTTAAATATCAAATTTATATTATCATTGAGATTATCTTGTATTTATATTTGGGATTTTGGATGGTATGTTTTACTAACGGTATAATCCATAGTTAACCTTTAAGGAGATTATCCTAGTCATTTGTAGTCCTAGACATTCTGAACCCTTATTATTACCCATTTTTTTAAATTTTAGTTTATATCATTAGTTTGTTTAGTTTAGATTATGTGGTTCTGGAATTGACTAAGTGAGTAACTACCAGTATTGCCTAACAATATAAAATAGGCTAGCCTAAAATGTATTATTTAAAAATTCCAAATGAAGCATGTAATTGAGCTGTCTTAAACCATCGATTATAACCATAGAGCCCTCCCGCATTTTAAAGTAGGCCATAATGTTTCCTTCAAAAAGTTACGTAAACCAAAAGGCAGGCTTCCTCAGCCAGTAGACTGTCTGCTGCATTGTAATGGCAAAATCTTGGTCTGATAATGATGTTTCACTGCAGTTTCAGCAATCCTTCCAAGGTTTAATTAATTTATTGAATATGCAGCTTATGCATTAATTCGTTCACTGCGCACGACGAGTAATCTCATCACTGCTTTGATAGCGTTAATCATGAACTATTACTTTTTAAATTAGAAAAAATTGGAATCAGGTATAACTCTCTTAATTGGTTTAAATCATACTTATCAAATAGACAACAGTTTGTTGAAATAACTCACATCACTAAAGACAATTATAAATCAAAATACAGTTCAAATATGGGCACAATAGGATCTGGTGTACCTCAAGGATCGGTCCTGGAACCTTTACTTTTCATTTGTTACTTAACAAATTTTAAAAATTGTCTAAATTTTGCCCCATGTACAGGTTTGTATCTTTATGCAGATGACTCTAATCTTAAAGTATCTGGGAAAACTGCAGAAGATGTTGAGTTGCTATCCACAATAGAAATAGCTTGTATTGAGGATTTTTTTAATAATCACAATTTAAAATTAAATGAAAGTAAAACCAAATGTGTCACATTCAAAACAAAACAAAACAAAAACAATTCCAATCCTAATATTGACGTAAATAACAAACCAATTGAAATAACAGAAGCCGTAAGGTTCCTTGGCCTGACATTGGACAGCAACTTGTCTTGGGACAAACATTGTAAACTTGTTATCAATAAAATAAACGAGTAATGTCCAGTGGTCGAAACTCGACCAAAAATATGTAATGTACTCACTTATGTTAATGTTTCACCCCACACTGTAAATAAAACATGTGATTGGAGTTTCTTCCATTTGTTTTGATTTTCTGTTTATATTTCGTTGTTATTTCGTCACCAGCATGGCAACGCATAAGATCCATGTAATTTTTTCAAATTTTTAAACTCATTTTTTGTGCTTATCTTTGAGCCTATTTAAATTTATAAAGGGATTCTGCACACCTACAGGAAAATAGCTTTCTAACGGTATGCGTAGATTTTCCCTACGATGCACACGAGCTGAGAAAAAAGGTTTTAAAGAAACATGCTTGCCTATTAATATATAGATAGATTCTGGTCTTTGTGCGATTAGAAAAATGTCAAAACTATGCAGTGTTGATGTTTTACAAATGATCTATTTTTCCCATAGTCAATCCCATATATCTTATGGAATATGTGTATATGGAGCCACCTCAAATTCGAATCTAGACCAAATTTTGACAATACAGAAGCAATCAATCAGAGCTATGTTAAAAATGAACAAAGATGATTCTGCAAAAGAACACTTTAAACGTCTAAGGATCCTCACTGTTTATGGTTTGTATGTTCTTGAATGTATTATGTTTGTCAAAAACAAAAATTTTATTCCACCAATTAAAGAAAATAATCATAACTACAATACACGTAACAAAAATAATTTTGTAATTGGAAAACACAAATTAGAGCTCTTAACAAAAAAGACTGTCAATGCAGGACATGAATTTTTAAAATTTATTCCTTTGAAAATTAAAACAGAACAAAAACCCAACATTTTTAAAAAACGTCTCAAGGAATATTTAATGGACCTGTCCTTGTACTCTGTAGACGAATTGAAAATGGCGATATCATAGTTTTAAGCATTAGTTTTAACTTATTTGACACTATTCATGTACAACTATGTATACTATGAAAAGATTCTTGAGTCGCGCGAGGAGTACAATGCTAAGTTACCCACTAACGTGAGACGTTGTTTCGCTTGCCGCTTATTGTGCCAGTGTTATACTTCAATCTGCTATTAATTCATTTTCAGATCCGACTATTTTATCGGTGGTAGGGATTATTTCCAAGCCTAAACCCCACACACTACAATAAATTTGTAATAATGATTATTACACACTCATCCACGAATAATGATTATTATTCGCACACTCATCCACGCAGCGCAAATGGTGTTTGCGCCATCGGCAGTGGCCGGCCATCGCGCAACCAAATATAACGTGTTAACATTCCAATGAATATATTCTGATCAAAATCTGTTCACTGCCACAAACTCATTTACATTCAGTTAGGATAGTTTAGTTCCTCATTTGACATTGTAAATCTTATTTAACCAGCCTCAATAATGTAGGCCTACACCTATGTATTATTGGATGACAACAAAAATAAACTAGACTTAAACTTTTAATTGTTATAACAAAGAGAAAATATTAGTAATGGTTATTTCTATTAGGTGTTTTTAATGATGATTTGTATTATTTTTGTCTTCTTTTCCCGACTGAAAATTTGTGATGAGAACTCATGTCTGAACAAACACCTAATGGCAATTCTTTTACAATTTATCATAATAAAGTGAGATGTTATTTAAAATCCTCATCACAGCAAACCCAAAGTGATTTAATTTTTGTATTTAATGATTATCTTGTCATAAATATGGAACAGTATCGATTAACCGAGGTTTTAGGGGGGGACCAAGACTTCAGTTCTAATAATCCCATATATCACGGAGATCTCTTACTTAGATTTTGAGGTTAAGGGTTACCACATTAGGAAGTGAAATACTTGTAAAATATATGCTTTAACAACGCATAACGAGTACACTTTTTGAAATAAGGAAGTTTTAAAGAAAACAAAAGGCCCAACTCAAACCTGCTCAGCACTTCTGAATTTGTCTTTAAAAACTTAAAATACAGTATTATTAAAGTTGTGCCAAGCCAACGCTCTACAGTATCAAATAAAAAAAATAGCCTAAGTTAGATCTTTCTAGTTTATGGGGTTTAACATTACCTTTTGTTTGAGTTTAACCGAGCTATAATTGACACAATCATGACAATCAAAAAATCGTATGACAAACGCTGACAAAAAGCAATCCGAGTTGGTAATACCCGAGCAGAAATGCAAAAGCTTTTGTTTACTTCTCTAGACGTAAACTAGCTGGACGGGCGTCCAGCTTGTCAAGCGTGATGGCCAACCTAGCGCTGTGTTATTTTCATTTAATAGGTTATTGCGGTCATTCATACGTTAAAATAATAGGTACTTGTAATAAATATTTAAAGTATTCGTTATACGAATCACTTGCTTATTTGTACTTGACTTACAACAGAAAATTTCATAAAATCACGCATTGGTTTCCATCTAAAATCTAAAAAAAATTTATTTTGACTTAAAACGACCTCGTACATTCTGAGGGCTCGGATAATCGAGAGTTTAATTTAGTTTGATAAATAATTGTAGTATGCTAAATATATACTTCTGTGATCATCATGATGATTTACCCAATTTATGTCTTCTTTTCCCGACTGAATTGTTATTGCTGAGCCTATGTATCTGATTGAACACAGAAGTCAGTGTTACCTACATTAAAGTTTTACCAAGAAAAAATATCTTTTGAAACAGTAGAACAAGCTCACAAACAGCTAACTTCTCTTTTACCAAATAAATACAACGGACAGGCCAAGACCTCATATAGAGCCTAGGCAAATTTTATTTTCTCTGAACATAAATTTGTAGTTTCTTATTGTCTCTTGGTTGGACTAAAGAGAGAAATTTTATCAATTTGTCAGTTTGTTTCAAATTTGTATATTAACTCTTTTCAGTGTTCATAATGATGATCAATCAATTTTTGTCTTCTTTTCCCGACTGAATAAGAAGTGCTGACAATCCAATAGTTTCTGAATGAACACTTTGTTTTAAATAGTGCCACTCTACAGAGATTTTTATGCCTAAACTAGGATCCATCATTTTGACTCTTTTTATCAATGATAACTTAACAAAATATTACGCAGCCTTCAAACGTACGTACTTGCCTTTGTTCAAACCATCCTGGTACATATTTTCTGAGTATAGAGGTTCTCTTGACTTAATCACAGTCATATTCAAAGAGTTGATGATTCCACTGCACTTGATCGTACATAGTGAGGGTAGCCAAAGATCGGAGAGTTGAGACTCTACTGGACGTATATACAATTTTACCAACTTAAGCCACTTATCTTAATCTTTGGAAACCTGTAAATATGTTATGTTATGTTTCAGCCTGCCCAGCCCAGACCAGCCCACATTGTCAGAACCAAGGAGCCTCCCATCATGTTGGCACCCATCGCTTACGAGTTCATCGCCTAATTGTTTTAAAATAAAGATTTTTAAAAACATTCTTTGCATTGTTATTTTTTAGCGAATTTTCCATTAGGGAATGTAGAGGGCACGGGCCTGCATTGGATTTTATTTATTTAACTTTGAATTCAGAATCAAATGTATAGGTCTTGCTACTAATTGCGATGGATTTAATCTAACCACTCTTGCACATTAATATCAAAGTTTTAGGCTGTGGTTTCCTAGACGCGTAATAGATGCGCAGCGGTTTAGATGCGCTGCTGCTTTTGTCCAGGTCCCAAAACGCAGCCGTCGTGAGTGGTTTCCTAGACTGCGTACAATACACATGATCGGTGCGTAACATAAGTTCACGGGAGAGATTACTAGTGGCTAATATGGTGTTATTCGATGATTTAGGTAATGAAATGTATACTTTGGTATTAAACTTTTCGATGAAGCGTAAGCAGTGAAAAGTACATGATTAGGAAATGTACGTGGCCCTCGCGGAAGTTTTAACCGTAGTATTAAAGCAAACGTGTCAATTTAAAATGTAAACAATAAATTTTAATTTAACCTCACCAACTTTGCTTTTACTGTTATTATATTTAGGCCTACCTATTCGGAATTTACCGAATTGACGAAATAGTATATTATTTACGAGTATAACTGCAATAAGCATTTCATACTTACGCCAACCCCGTAAGTAGGACGGGTACTCTGCTAGTAATTAATATAGGATTATTACTTTCTAAGATAATTATGGGGGCTCTTATATTTTGGAGTTGGTGTTTTGCTGTCTTGAAAAGAATATTTGTCAACATTAGGTTTATTTACAAATTACAAATATGCGAGGACAAATTAACTGTAGGGAACATTTAATAAGGGAATTAAATATTAAAATTACACATTATTGGGAAATTGACACTACCTAACGAATGATATGAAATGTAATACTATACAAATTTTAATTGTATGAACAACGTACTTCCATAATATGTCATTTCAAGAGACAAATTCAATCGATTTTTCGTTGTTGTTGGGGAATTTTGCCATCTGGACAACATTTACTTCCGAATCCATTGCACGAGACATGTCTAAAACGCAGCGCAACTCAGATTTGACTGCTCTGAGAGCAGTCAGTGAAATACGCAGCTATTGGTGCGCGCGTATTAGATGCGCGCGCATTAGATACGCAGCCTTGGAAACCAAGTACACGAAACTCCATAAGACAAGTGTGCTGCGTCTTAGATGCGCACACGCAGCGCATCTATTACGCGTCTAGGAAACCACAGCCTTAAGAAGGGTTAAAACTCCAACCCGTTCCTTTCGATTAGGTTAAGATAATAAGACGTCATCGTGATATCACTATCATGGGTAGGGTACAAGTCCGCCTCCACAAGTATGCATAAGCTAGTTTTGCTGTGTTTTTAGCTTTTAGTGAGTGTTTTAGTGTGTTTGTGTATCTTAACACAATAAACGAACTTGAACTTCTAGCTTTTACATTGTTATAGGTAGGTTTGCTATAACAACCTATTTGCTTTTATTTTTATATCAAATACAGTAATTTTAATTAGCAAATATAAAAAGGGTAATTATACTGAGATCTGCTATTCTGTATGTGAATTTTTTGTCATCTTATATGTTAAAAAAAATTGGTTTATCTTTGCCGAGTTCGATTGACTCTTCTACCCGACCGATTTTCATGATTGAGGTCTCAAATTGAAGGTATGCACGCAAAGATTTGCCATCAAGCATCGGCATATATTTATCTATAATCCCACTCGGCTTATACGTAAATGAAATTTGCTCCTTATGTATTTCTTATGGGAGTTAAATTTCGTTTATCTTTGCCGAGTTCGATTGGCTCTTCTACCCGACCAATTTTCATGATTGAGGTCTCAAATTGATGGGCACGCACATATTTGCTATCAAGCTTCGGCATATAGGTATTTACCTACTGTATTAATCGACCAAAAAACATAATTTGATTCATTTATGAATTCTTACTTCAATTTAAGATCTATTTCACCAGTTATAATTGTATAATCCTATATATTTCGGCCTAAGAACCTTCAGTGAAATACCGGCTTTCATTTAAGCTATTAGTTATTTAAATCGGACAAGTTTCAAGCAAACGCAAATAAATTTATTTTTCATAAGGTTTTTCTATGATTAAAAATCAATCTCCAGTATTTTTAATGTTTTTTTTTATATTTTAGACTTAATCAGTAAATTATAGGCTTTAATTTGAGCTATTGATCGTTTGAATCAGTTAAACTCAAGATACTGGATTACTCAATCAAAAATCATAAATTAGATTCTTTCTCGGATATTATATTTGCTGCGGAGCAGCATGGGTCCTCTAGTTGTGGTGAAAAGTATCATTCATAACTAGAACCGAAAATGATTTTCGCTGATGCTCCAATAATTATTCCCTACCTCCGCTTCGCCCCAAACGTTGGAATAACTCTCCCACGTGGAATTTGGTGTTCCTGCTGGCTTTGCCCTGCACGCAAACTTTGCGAGCGCAACAGAAATGCCACTCTTGGCATTAGGTGCTTACTAATAATGAAATATAGTCTACTCTCTTGCAAATATCAATACTATTGTTATTGTTGACTACTTTGGATAGAATTAGACTTGAAAGTTAAGATGGTTTCAGTAATAGAATAAAAGTAGTAAGGTTGAATAGCCTACGACAGAGTGTACGTTAAGACAATTTCAATTCAATTGCTGGTTTCTAATGTATATTTTAAAAGAGCCATTAGAAAGGTCCGCTTGATTTGACTTAACGCATCTTTTAATACCATGAAAACTATCATAGAATGAATAACTAATAGACCATTGAATTTTGATAGTAGCTCAAAATTGTTAAATTTCTTGTTGTAAAGGCTTCATAGATATAGTTGTAATGTTTTCAAATGGTTTTCTTATAGTTATAATGTCAAAACTTTAAACATATCTTAATCTTAGCTAAGAAAAAAAAAACAGGAGGGTTCACCAGGCAGGAATAAACTAGATTTAGTTATAAAATCAAAATTTAATACAAAATGGTTAAACTTCACATATCACACAACAATAAACATGTAGCTTAATTACTAAAGTGACGGTCTAAATGGACAGTCTTACCGTTTTTTCAGTTCTTTTTGGCAATTATGTACAATATAAATACTAAACTAACTTAACCTAGGTCGTATACAAAAATATCACATATTCATTATTTCATGGTTACTTTAAGTTCAAAATAAAAATTTAATAAAATAGAGTAACAGTGGCTGGATATCAGACTACTTTATAAAAACAGCAGGATAAAATAAAAATACAATTTATAAAACTAATCAAAATCAATCGCTAAAGCAAATCAAAGTAGAGTTGAAACACTGTCAAAATAAACCTAACTTAGAAATCATTTGATTTTTACAAGATTATGTAATTGAACTTTAAATTCAATGTAAAAATCTGCATATTAATAGTAAACTCAATTGCCTACCTTCCTAATATAACGAAAAACTTACTTAATTTTGTATACACCTGCGTTCTTATTACAGGTTATATAAGTTTTTACGAAAAAATAAATTTTCACAACAAAGTTAATTAGGAAACTGTTATAAAACAAATTATAAATCTTATTACGGTAGCGTTTTTAAAAATCAATGTTTGACTTTAAACCTGTTGGTCTAAATTGAGAAGTAACTATTAAAATTTCCCATCAAGTAAATATTTTTCAAAAATAAAAGAATATCTCTCAGTTAGAATTACAGTAGCAAATCAGTAAAAAATATTGAATCCTTTACATTCACAAAAAAAAACATACTTGAAGAAGAGGTTATATACAAAGTGTGATCTTAGTTCTAAAATATAAATAAGGCGGTTGACCCGTGCCTGGTTGACTTAGATTCAGAGACCCTACGCTACTATTTACAGGGTGACACAAAACTATGTTTATCTGTTGCACACCAGTTGTCTAAGTTTTGCTGTCTCCGTTCTCAGTGTCGCCAACTCGTATTTCAACTTAAGGTTCTCTTGTTCCAAAAACGCAGCTCGGATTGCGATTTCATCCTCCTTTGCCCTCCTTGCATCTCTTGACCTAGAAAATAAAGATTTGATATTACAAGGTATAAATTTAATTTACTGGTGTAAGTTGGTGGTTGGGATTCAATACTTTTAACTCAAGATTAATTAGTCATTCAATTATACTTCAATTTATCTTTCCCCATCTTATGAACTCATCAGTCTTGTGAATCTTTGGGAATTGGTGAAAAGCTCGCCGAGGAGAGGAGCAACTCACAAAGAATGTGCCTGTCTCTTCAACTTCTACGGTATTAATCACTGACAATTGTGAACTCTCGCGAGTTGAAAAAAATTCAACTATCATGAATAAACTACAGTTTTATTTGCTATCCCATTAACACACAACATGGGTTTTAAGCGTCTTATTAGGGACAACATTTTCTCGACACTTTCAAATAAAATTTTTTTGCAAAAAACCTGACAGATATTAACAATCTGAAAAAAAGTTTTTCTTAACTGAGTTGATGTTTGCTTTTGATCTGTTTATATTCACCCAATAAATGAACAGTCAAACAAAGATTAGAACTCTAATAAAACTTTTGAACAAGAATTTTTCTGAATGTATACCTGTTAGCAAGGTAGTTCTTATATTCAGATGTGCTCGTGCTCTATCAAAAAAGTTTTCTTCTAAAAGAATTATGTGAATATTGTGAAGTGGTCCTAGATCTGGGTTTTACCATGAGAGCCATCTTAGCATATAATCAAAATTCGACTTATTTCCAAACTTTACCCACCTCTTAGCAGCTTCGTTGTTCTTTCTCCTTCGCTCCCAGTAGGCTGCTGTCTTGTCGTCCAGTTCCGCAGTAGATGACGGTTGCTGCGGACTGTTAGACCTTCGCATGTTGCTATTGTTGCGTCCGCTGACCAGCTCCAGCTGCGCCAACATCCGCTGGCGGAACTCGATGTATTCCTCTGTCGAGTCCTGGAATGAGCTGAGTGCCAGAGGGTCCTTTGGGTACGCCTTGAAGGGCCTTGTAGGTTTTCCGCTGCGTCCAGCGTTGATCACGTTGCTAGTCATCAAGTACGTAGAGGTAACCATAGACGCAGAAGTAGGGTTAGGCGGAGAAGATCCTTCCATGGTGGGGACACAACCTTGGTATGGCGGAGAACCGTAGTAGGGAGGCGTAAGTGGGGCGTAAGCCTGCGTCATGGGTGGCGGAGACGAGTACTTAGGTTCTGCAGGAGGTGGGGTGTATTTTTCTTTTGGTGGACTGCACTTTGGTTCCAAGGGTGGACTGTACATCATCTGTGGCGGGGAGTATCTCATCGGTTGGCTGTAGATGGGCTTTTCCTCTTTGACCTTTCTCAAGTCTAAGGCGTCGGAACATTCCATGGTGAGGTTCATGGTCGGGTAGTCTGTAACAGAAAATATAATGTGTAGACATTGAATTTTTATATAGAAATAAAATGGATTCATATACTGTGTCTGGTTAGCCAAGTGCTCTTAGTGCTCACATTCAAATCTGAAGAGAATTCCAATCGTTTAAGAACACATGCAATTTGTCATTGGGATAGCAATAATAATGCTATCCAACAAAAGCTGAATGATTGTGACAAACCAGGATTTGGACCTTTCCTTTAAATACAAAAAAAATTGAATAGTGTAGAAACACATATTATAATATACATTAACACAAAGATTACAAAATTACATAGAATGAAAAAGAATGTGCTTTTATGTAAGATCCTCTTTGATCACTTAAAGATTTGATAAGTTACCACTTGTAAAGTGTAAAGTGTGACTGTCTAAAATCTTAAACAAAACCTATTATTTTAACATGAAGTTGGATTTTTTCTTAAGTATTCGGGAGTAATGTTAGTTTCCATTGTCAATGCTGTCAGCTTTTAAGTTTTACTGTTAGGGGTGGTACCAAATTGGACATTAATACATTTTTTTAATTAATGCCATGCAATTAAATGTAGTTTTTTCACTAATTAATACACAGTTCTTGTCTACTAAACACGGTCAAGGGAATCGCCGGAGATTACAGGTACCTATGATTTAAACCTTACTGAGGCATTTTAAAGTAAACAATACGGCCCTTATCTACAAGTTCTAATCAAAGATTCCCTTTCATGGGTGTACTTTTAAATTATGATACGGTACTTCGATGTGTAGGATTCATGTTTAACTATAACTATTATTTACAAAAATATATATGATTTATAAATTCTTCTTTAATTTATCACTGCTCTTGTCATTTACTGGATTGCGGAAAAGTGGTAATCAACAGAAATCTTCAATCAATCAATTATTTAAGATGGGGACGCCACTATGTGCGTATTTTAACCCAAATATGAGTGAAGGATGAGTGTGGGATGAGTGGCGCGATCTTGTAGTCTTGTTAGTGACTAAGGCCGACATGTTCCTCAGACACAGCTGTTAATTAATAGCCCAAACAGATCTTGAAAGTTAAAACGTAACCGGATAACAGAAAAGTTAATTTTTGAATAAATCTTAGGATACCGGTAATTGATTTTTGCTTAAATACCGTACTAAATATAATTTAATAAATTCCTTGCATAACTCCGTTCATTAAATGTCCCGTAACTCATAAATGATTATGAAATCGTGATGAAGGTTAATACTTGAGTAAACAAATAGCCGAGACAAAACAACAGTGTATAGTAGTATAGTATTATTATGTAGATTGCCAGCTACATGGCGATAAAACCCATTACAAATAAATGTTTTAAAGAATTATATTAGTGCCATTGCCTGAATGTAAATTAAATTTCTTAAACGTATTTCAAAATAGGTCGATTTTCAATTAAACCCGTGAGTGCAATTTAAAGCATTGCTCAAACATGATTCCATCTCGATGTATTATCTTTATGAATCTGCTGATATCTGATAATAGTTCCAAGGTAAAGTGTGAATATGTACGGCGACGCGATGGTTCATTTGGTGGTTACAACATTGACTTTTTACAGAAGTTGGCTTTAGAAACTCAACTTTAGAAATTGAAAAGAAAACTATAAATTCCATAAAAGAAGGAAGGACCTTTTTGAAAATTACTTAAATAAATTAAGTGCAGTATCTAAAGTCCATGCTTAAAATCGCCAATTGTGTGTAAATAGGAACTGAACATTACCGACGTATTGTAAATAAAAAAAAAACGTATTATAAAACTCGACCCTAGTAATTTAGTTCTACTGTATTATGTGTTTGATTGCATTGAACATATCCTTGATTGTCAAGCTTGTCAACATAACTCAGATATTTAACTATTAGTTTTTTTTATTATAATGGACATCAGCTAATCCGAAACATTTAACAAATAACCTTTTATAATTTGAAGGGATGTGTTTATTATTATTCATCGGTCTTTACTCTCATTAACGTTTGCAATATTAGTTATATGGTGGGTAAAATGTTATAATTTTATGTTTATTTCTTATTAATAATAATTATTATGAATGTTACTGTATCGTTATAAAAACGTAAGTTGTACTTACAAGCAGGAGAAAATTATTTGTCACTAATGTGATGGTACAGTACATTTTTTTGTCGGGTTAAACTACTCAAGTTATAATGCTAGGTAAATTATATCTTAAATAAAAATATATAAACCCCTTATTGTATATTAAACGTTAAACATCCCCAAACAATTTATTTAAATAATATCCATCTTAACTAACCAAAAACAAAAATAAAAATCCAAACAAAATAAATCAAGGAAATATCCAAAGACTCACACGATGTGGAGGGCTCCATCTTAAACCGTGTCAACGCACCGACTGATCGAAAACCAAACTTTTTGAGGGTGGTAAAAAAGAGGGCGGTTCTAAAAAAAGACTTCCTGCTGGCCTAACGGGACAGGTTGCGATTTCAAGGGTTACATAATGCCGTGGGGGAGGGAGGGGGGAATCTACCTGCAAACAACACTGGAACTAATAGACTACCCTGGGGGACCGCTATGCGAATGTAGCACAATGCTAACTGTACCTGTACCATCCCTACGCAACCCGATACAGTTAGAGGTTATTGTAGCGGAAAGTGGAGAAATCGTGCACATTTATAGCCGTGGCCAGGGGTGTCCCGCGATCAGGTTCTATGAATTTGTTGTGCAAATTTAATCAATCGATTGATTTGGTATTTGTTTATTAGTTCAACGGTTGACGCCTTTAGTGGACATTGTTTAGTACTTACTAAATACATTGTAAATTATTTCACTCTCATACGAACGAAAGCATTTAAGAATAAGAATGTATTTATTTTCTTGAAAGTAATATTACAAAACAATACAAATTATACAAATATAACATAGATACTGTTGTATTTTCATTCGTAAAAGAAATAAAATAGATTAACTTCCTACAAAATAATTACACTTAAAAATCAAATGAGTTATTACATATAAACTAAGAACAATATAAAATCAATTTAAATCCTCATGTAAGAAATTTACAACAGTTCTTCCAAGAAAATTTAGGGCCTCCAAAGGCATAGCCTGTGTGAAGGTTCCTTATCTATTAGCATTGACAACTGAATGCGTGGGATAGTTTATAAAGCTGAACATTACTGACCCACTTATTGCCATATTAAAAACATAATTATCTCAGTTTACAATTACCAAGATTCATGTACATTAATTCTAAAATACCACAAAGACAACGTAATATCATGAAACTACAAAAATAATAATTTATACAAGGATTTTTACTAAACATACAAAATTATCTCCTGTCAAAAGCCAAGTCTTAAGTTTCTTTGAAAATAAACCTAAAGTTTTACAATTAACAATATTTTCTGGCAATTTACAAAAAAACTTTGGACCTACAAAACAGTAACTATTAAGGAAAAAGGTTAAATTAGGCCTAGGCACAACTGCACGCTCTGTTTTCCTCAATCTTTCTTTATAAATATTATTTGGCTTCCTTAAATCTCTACTTAATTCATAAAAGATTTTTAAAACTTTGTGTAAGTACATATACCTTAAAGGGAGAATTTGTTGTCATGGTTCCATTTTGCTCTTTTTCCTAATTGCCCTGATGATTTTTTTTGTATTATGAAAATAGGTTTCAGGTTAGTTTCATAGGTACCGCCCCAGCAAAAAAGTCCATAGTCTAATCTACTATTTACAAGTGCAAAGTATAAAAGTCTCAAAACATGTTCTGGACAAATGTCCTGTAAAAAATAAAAATATCTCAATGTGTTATTTAGTTTTCTTTTTTAAAATATTAATGTGAGGAGTCCAGCTAACCTCTTGATCTAGGACTAAGCCCAGATACTTTATACTATATTTAAGTAATAATTACATGTAACATGACAATTATAGTAAAATATGTACTACAATGTACAATATAGATGTATTGCATCTTCCCTTCACAATCAACTTTTCAATAAAAGATCATCTACGGTGGTTTATGTTAATGTTATGGATATATTTTATGCTCCAGACAAAATGCCTTCACTACTTCCATAATGAATCCATTAAACGTAAACCCATCTTCCCTTCATATTCACCTCTTTACCAAAAGATAATCTCTGATAGTATATTACTATAATATTGACAATGAAATAATAGTATTCACAAAATTAGGAACTGAGCAAAATATATATTGAAAATAGTGATTAGTGTTAGTGTAAATAATACTTCCCACTCAGTTCTGAAGATTTTTTCCTTAATTGCATATCAACCTTAATACATTTTTCTGGTAAGTTAATTTACCTAAATTCATGCCATATCGAATATCGATTGGTAAAGTATACGTATGCAATACAACAATTAATTTAATCCGTAGCGTATGCAAACGTTGCTTGGCTAGTCTACGATAACCAAAAACCTTTATTCGCAAACAGCTGATTAATCATACTCGCATGATATGCTTGTTTCTTATTGGTTCCTTAACAGCTGATTTGTCTTACTGACATGATTTGCTAGTTTCTAATTGGTTCATTGTTGTCTTTGTTCGCGATGTATTTTCACGTCTTTACAAGTAATGTTCGTAAGCACAGTGTAGTGAATGTTGTATTATCTATGTCGAGTGGTGTTCGCGAGTGTGTTTTAGTAGACTTTTTTCGACTTTTAGTGCCAAATGACTTTATTCGGTAATATTCTTTATGCTGATTTTCCTAAAACGACATGCATCTTTGTTCTTATGATTCACTGGAGTATTATGGTTAGTAAGCCTATTCTCAATCAC